ACCTGTATTTTATGTAGTTCTTGGTGTTTAGACATTTTTGTTTAATAGAATATTCTTTACCTGTTCATGATTACAGGACGCAACATCAGGTGGCCCGGCCCGTGCCTATCCTGTCGGCGGTCTTTGCTACTACTTCTCTCCACCAGAGTCTTTTGGTTCTGTCCTAGAGGACCCAGTCCATGCACTAATTTACATCTTTTTCATGCTCGGCTCATGTGCCTTTTTCTCCAAAACTTGGATTGAAGTTTCAGGCTCTTCTGCAAAAGATGTAAGTTATGACTGCAATCTGTCATGCGGTGGAGGTGTGGGCTTGTTTTCAATGTTATTTCTGTATTCAAACTGTACTCTTCATCACAGGTAGCGAAGCAGCTGAAGGAACAGCAAATGGTGATGAGAGGACACAGAGAGACCTCAATGGTTCATGAACTGAACAGGTAAAATGATGATTTTCACTTCATGGTGATTGTTTGGTCAGATTAATCATTTGGCCATGATGACGGTCTCAACTTTTCTTTATGTACTACTGACTGTATTTGTTAATATTTTTTCAGCCACTTAAATTTCCCCAAATGTTTTTGTTTTTAGGTACATTCCAACCGCTGCTGCCTTTGGTGGACTTTGCATCGGTGGTCTATCGGTGATGGCGGACTTTCTCGGTGCCATCGGTTCTGGCACCGGTATCTTACTGGCTGTCACCATCATTTATCAGTACTTTGAAATTTTTGTGAAAGAACAAAGCGAAGTAGGCAGCATGTCGGCCATGTTCTTCTAAAAAAAAAAGAGAGAGAGAAGCTGTGATCCTGCCATCTCCTGCCAGCTTTTATTGAGTTTTGTCTGTATTTCATTTTTGATCGTTTTAAATCCATGAACTGTATCTGCTCAGCTAAAGACATTGAAGAACCTTCAGGAGTCCCAGCTGAAACGGGACGCTTTGGGGAAGTGAACGCCATGCTGACTTTCACATCATTTACTCACTCCTCACAAATCCCAAAGGAGATGAAGAGAATACCACTTCAGCTGGATATCATCACAACTCCAGATTCAAACCGAGATTTCCTGAATAGCTTCTGGCAGTGATATTTTTTTTTATTTTTTACATGTTTTCCCCACACTGAGGATTTGGTGCTTCAGTATGCAGGCATACTCAATTAGGAAGTGGCTGCCAGCTGCCTGGGTGCTTAGTGATATGTCTTTGGTTAAACTTTTACTGTCAGCTTAGTTATTTCTCTGCCGATCAGGTTAGGGTGTGGACAGAAGCTGGCCTGTCCAGTGCTGATTCAAATACTGTAAATGTTCCTTTGTGTAACCTTGAGTGGGAGCTGAGGCCTCAGAGCTCACATTGGGCTCCAGCCTCAGGAGGGGTGCTCTGAACACTCATCCATTCAGTGTTGGTTCTTGTTCTTTTAATGTGTGGCATTCCCAGGGATCTGCAGTATTAACTCACACCTCATCGACATTCCAGTTTGCCACATCAGGGGGATTCTTCTTTTGTTTTTAAAATGTTCCCTATTCTTATAGCTTTTTTTTTTTTTTTTTTTTTTTTTTTCCAGACAACCTTATTATGTTTCTGTACATAGACCACACATTGAATAATGTTGACTCTGTCTTAAGAGTAAGAGGAAGTCTTTGAATATGTAAAAATAAAACATTTCAGAACAAACCTGTTTTAAAAAACATTCTGAATAAAAGAGACTTTTGTGAAAAAAAGTATTTTTCAAGAACTTGTCCCGTGTGTAATTAAATTTACATTTTTTGATGTAAAATCTCAAAACTTTCAGAAGTTGTTGAGACATAAGGATTTTAGATATGCTATAAAGGTAAGAAAAAAATAAAAATTATTTTATTTTGCTTGTAGAAGTTGCTAATTGGTTATTTAGGGATGCAATCCATAGTTTGTGATTTAAACACGTTTGCATTTATTGCTTTTTTTTACAATTTTTTTATGGCAAAGTACAGCTTATTCAAGATCATATTTTTCATTTGTAAAAAAGTAAAATATTCTATTTTGTCATTGAGTGAGTTGTTTTATTGGCCTGGAAGGTTAATTTTTTTTACAATAAATATGTATTTTTTTCTGAATATATAGATTAATATTCTTAAACTAATGAAAATGCAGCTTGGACCAATCATTAAATTGCGTATTTTTTTTTTTTTTTTTTTTTTTTTTTTTTTGACGTTTTGATCTGTAGGGGGCAGCAGAGTATTGACGCTACCGGAAACAACATAAAAGAAGAAGATGATCCTATCATGCTGTAAAAAGGATAGTTGTGAAACAGTCACTTTGTTATGTAGAGAAATGTGGAGCTGTTTTTGTGTGCGTTTTCTTTTTTGAACTTTGAACATATATTCCGGGAGCTGTTGGCTGCTGAGGTGAATTTAACGAGGCCTGTTGCTTGTTCCAGCTGGAAGAAATGAGCTCGGTCCGGCAGGAAGGTGAGCATCCTGAGCTAGCCGGCGGCTAACGTTTCTGGAAGGCTATCGCTGAAGTTTATTGGTGTGATTGGAAAATGAACCCTGGGGTTCTTATGTAATGTCTAAACAGTAATTTCTGGTTAAATGGGACATTTAGAAGCAGTGAGGTCTGTTAGCAGCGGACGGATCTCTGCTGTGATCATCTCAGGGTTTAACCTTGAGCACACACAAGCTGCATGTCACGATCAGGCTGAAACGGCGTACAGTTAACATCAGACCCATAAAGGTTGCTTTCCGTCTGAAACCGGATTTTTATACCAATGGATACATCCCTGTGTATTGTGACGTCTTCTCAAATGGGTTATCGCATATTTTTGCTTTGTGCTGCAGGTAAAGACAAAATCATATTTGTCACCAAAGAGGATCATGAAACACCGAGCAGTGCTGAGCTTGTAGAGGAAGACCCCAATGATCCCTATGAGGAGCAAGGTGAGTCGGGCTCTGATTTCTGTTATTCAACGTCTTAACCTGGACTAAAGCTCTTTTCCGTTTAGGTCTGATTCTCCCCAGTGGGGAGATAAACTGGAACTGTCCCTGCCTGGGCGGGATGGCCAGCGGTCCCTGTGGGACTGAATTTAAGGACGCCTTCTCCTGCTTCCACTACAGTAAGGAGGAGGTGAAAGGCTCTGACTGCCTGGAGCAATTCAGGACCATGCAGGAGTGTTTGCAGCGCTACCCAGAGCTTTACCCAAAGGAGGATGATGCACCATCCAGCCAGGCGTCTGAGGAATCTGCGTCTGCGGAACCGTCAGACCCAGCAGCTGGCTCTGAGAAGGACTCTGATCCCACACTGCCTAACACAGAGAGCTCAGCAGAGAGCTAATGCTGAGCCTTACTGTGGAGCTCATAGCTCGTTTCACATTCTGTCATCTTGTTATACGTCTGAAAAAGAAAAAAAAAACATACAGATTTTTCCAATTAATATTTATCAGAATTAAAAGTACTAAGATAAAAGGGCTTGTGTCGCTGTAAACAAAAACAAAACAGGTCAAACTCGCATCATACAAGCTGATCATGTAGCTGTAGGCCAGCAGCAGCTACTGTCCAGTCAACAATCATTTCTATAAGCAGGTGATTTTTCTGCAGAACAAAACTCATTTCATGGGATTTATGGAGAAGAACTGTTACAGTATCAATTCTGCTCCAGATTATCAGAACTCATTAACGTTTGATACCATGTGGGTTCCTCAGGTCAAATATGGGTTAAACAGGAGATAATTACTTGACTTTAGTCTGTGATCTTACAGGGCCAAGCTCATCATGCCCACCAGGTGCACATAGTGTATACTTCCGTTTGCCTTTCTGTCTACTCTGATTGATCATAACTTCAGAAACTAAAACTGCAGTAACTTGTGTTTTAAACTTTTGGTAGTGCCCTCCTTTTTACAAATAGGTTTTACAAAATTTCATAGAAAGCTCAAAGTGTATTTTATTTTCACTGTGCTGTGGCTAAATGCTCAGAGATATGAAGAATACTTGGATCACTTTTCATTGTGAGGTCTTCACAATGAAAACAATTGTGTTGTTTCCACTGTTGCCTCTCAGGCTGCACTTATTCTTCTTAATTTATAACCACACTTGAAGTATTTACCTCATCTGAACCAAACTCAACCTTCTGTGTGCAGCAAAAGAACGATTGCAGTCAAAATTGCTTATAGTTTTGTAATAAAAACCATTGTAACTTCACTGTGTTGCACTGTATTTTTAAAAAATATTATTGCAACCAACCAAGTAAAACTGACTTGGAACTATCCTGACCATCAAAAACTGTTTTTACTTGGACCTGAAATACTCCAGGATATTACCAACTATCAAGTATGGTGTTGGCAGAATCATGCTGTGGACCTATTTTACTGCATGTGGTAATGCACAAGGTGTTTAAAAAAAAACAAAAAAAACGAGAACACCACAGATGAGCAGGTCAGAAATCAAACCTGCTAAATTGTATTGTCAATTTTGAGTTTGGTGATATGGCTCACTGCCCAGGGCAGCATTAAATGTGGGGTATCACAAGGGCCCCAACTATGTATTTTTTTATTGCTTAACTGCATCTTCAGTCAATCTGGAGGGGCCTCTGAGTTGCAGCTTCCAGCTTGGTGCAAACTTCAAGGTTTCTTGCACATCGTGAAGATTTTGAATTAATCAAGAATAATTTAAAATACTAAATATGATCAGGCTGCTTCTGTATGATGACATGCAATGAGCTTTTGTTTGAAAAGTTGTAATTATGATGGCTAATGTTTTCCACTTTCATTATAGACAGAATTTAAGGCATTCAATATTTAATAATGTCTATTTAAACAAAGTACTGAAATAGTAAATAAGCATTTGAAGCATTTCAGTTTTGGAGAATTCATTATTTCTCAGATATTGTGAACAATCATATTACATCCAAATGATTAGGATCAGATTTTGTCACACACTGTATCACACTTTGTTATAAAACAAATTGGTCTCCATGAATGTCTGCTCAGTCTGTGCTACTTCAGCCTCTTTCGGGGATCAATAATTATCAAACATCCCTGTGGAGCTACTGTATTTTCATTGGTGAACCCTTCCAGATCAAAGGTAACATTAAAACCAATGGGACGGAAAGGGAAGAGGGACTGGCCCCAGTAAGTACACAGATCCTCTCTGCGCAGATGCTTGTTTGTTGCATCAGTTGCAGTTACCATCGGTGTGTGGCCTGAACTTTGCCTCCTTGGTTTCTGCTGAAAACGTATAACAGAGAAAAGCCTCCAGGATGTCGGATTTAAAGGAGCTTTGCAGCGGTCTACCTCTGGATCCTTTACCACCAAACCGAGGAAGAGATCCGAATGTGCCACACGCTCCGGTCCGGACTCCTAACCTCACAGCTGAGGAGGAAAGAGTGAGTAACTCCTGACATCTGTTCTCTCATGGAAGTATGTTGCTGGAAGATGTTTTAGCTGCAGTTTTTATTGCATTCATTTCAGCATTAATTCTACTACCATTTCAATACACACTGTAAACTACACAACACCCATTAAAATGTAAAAACTAACTACATCTCTGCCTCTTAATAATGTATGAATGATAACACTGTTAAAAGATCAAAATTTACCATGGGTGTGATAGAGCTGAGAGCAGTAGTCAGAGCCTCATCTGCACTCTATTTTTTCTTGCATCACTCTCTGTTGGTTCAACCCCTAAATTGATTATTTTCAGAGGTCCTAAAATGATTGCCCAAACCCAGAAAAAACATCTCAGTCAATAATTAAAAGAGGGAAACAGGGAAAGCTCTACCTCTGACATGAAAACTTGAGAAAAAAGGAACGACAAATTTGTGAGACGAGGCTCTGCTTTCACTAGTTCACAGTAGTTTACCTTTCTCCTTCTACAGCTGGCACTGAGAAATGCTCTGCGCTACTTCCCACCATCCCACCATGCAACACTTGCATCTGAATTTGCTCAAGAGCTCCGGCAGTACGGACACATATACATGTACCGCTTCTGCCCCGCGGTGCGGATGAGGTACGGGCAGCAGTTTTCATTTATAAGTTGCCTAACTAGTAAATGGAGTCATTGTGTATTTATTTTAATCTCAGATGCTTTAACAGAGAACACAAGTGCAGCAGCTCCTCTGTTAAAGGCTGTGAGGTTTACTGGAGAACATTAACAAGAGGTTACAAAATAATATCCTTAGATATGAGCTTTCTAAAGAGAACTGTTCAATTCCTAATCATAACATGGAAAAATTGACATAGAAAGAAATCTAAAGAGAAGATTGTTCATTGAGCAACAGAGACTCTGTGGTGAACCTGGCAAAGCTGCAGATGTACATGGGTGGAAAACACTGTTAAACTGACAACTATTACTCATGCACTCTAAATTTCTGACCTTTAGGCGAGGAAAAAAAAATACTGTTAAAAAAGCAAACATAATTTTTTTTTTTTTTTTTTTTTTTTATACAAGTATGGAATATAGTAAAAATTTGGAAGAACCAAAATGGTTTTTTTTGGCCTGCATGGAAGATTACATGTAAGCAGGAAGCTGAACAATGCATGTCAACCTGAGATGAAACATAGTAATGGCAGCATTATACTTTTAGCATATTTTCTTGTGCAGGGTCAGGGAAGTTTTTCAGAAATACATGGCAATAATTTCAAGATAAACCCAGAAGAGAAGAGTTAGAGGCAGTAAAAGACATCAGACTGGGTTGGAGGTTCATCTTCCAGTGACAATAAGTAGACAACCAGAGGATCAAAACATATTTGCCTTTTCGATCAAAATCTATTTGAGAATTGATGGCTATCGCGTCGTCATACTTTTAAGATTGTTATATATACACATTTTGAAAGAATGTCTCGATTTTCTTTGTCTTCCACAATTTTTCATGGCTTTTTCTTGGTCAATCACAAAAAACTGTAATGAAAGGAAGGAAGCTGTAATGTGACAAAATGTGAAAAAAGTTTTTGTTTTGATTTTTTACATCAGATTTCATTCATATCTTCAAAAATTAAATCTTTTTTTTTTTTTTTTACCAATTTATGCTTTGTGCTAATAAAAAATCAAAGATACTTATCAGCACTGTGTCAAAATTTCCTGCACTGCTGCTATGATGTGAACGCCTGTCTCTTGTGCAGAGCCTATCCTATAGATCAGTATCCGTGCCGCACACGGCAAGCAGCAGCTATGATGCTAATGATCATGAACAACCTGGACCCAGCTGTTGCTCAGGTGAACATTTTATGCTCAGCTTGACTATCCATGTCTAATTTAACATCATGAACAGGGGCGTCCAAGTTCAGGTCTCAAAAGCATCTATCCTACAACATTTGGGTGCAAACCCTCTCCAATATCACTGAGTAATTGAATGGCTGGTTACCAGTCGTCTACAGAGGAGGAAGTTCTGTCATGTGACAGGTGTTGGAGCAGGGATGCCTCTAAAAGTTGCAGGATAGTAGACGGACTTGGGCAGCCCTGGCATGAAGGAAACTAACTTTCCTCCTCATGCAGTTTCCACAGGAGCTCGTCACGTACGGAGGGAACGGACAGGTGTTTAGTAACTGGGCCCAGGTGAGTCCTGAGCAAATCCAAAATATAATTTATTTCTTGTATGATATGCTGACTTAAACAGCTGAATTGTAACTGTTTGCATCTGAGTTCAGTTTCGCCTTGTGATGCGCTACCTGAGTGAGATGAGTGAGGAGCAAACTCTGGTCATGTACAGCGGTCACCCCATGGGCTTGTTCCCCAGCCTGCCTTCCTCTCCTCGGGCCATCATCACTAACGGCATGGTACCGGCAGAACACACACCACGTGTCAACAACAGGCCCAAACAACAAGCTCACATTTGGTTCTCTGTGTTTGTTCTGTTCGTTTCCTCAGGTTATTCCCAATTATTCTTCCAGAGAACAATATGAGAGGATGTTCGCTCTTGGTGTGTCAATGTAAGTCTTTTCTAAGCTGCTGGACTGATTGTGATGGAAAACAAGATAGAGACAGCAGTCAGAAGTTTGCATACACTCACCATGGGCTTGAATGTCATATTCATGTCTAGGCCTTCGATAATGCATTTTATCTGCTCTTTTTTCTGGGATGGAATGAAACTATAATTCATAAGTTCAGTGATTGATACCAAAAAAAATTACATTTCCATCCACAAGTTTAGATTTAGTGTGGATTTTCTCTAATCTACTTAGATTTCAAATAGTGAATCAAATACAGACATAAACCTCCATTACTGTTGAAATAAATCTACCTTTTCAGATTTCTCTTCAATCATGCATTTTAGTACTCTGGTATAATTCCAACTGGATATTCATCTTCTATGCTTATAGAAACGTTCATTTAAATTAGTCTATTTGGATGAAAGACAATCTACAAACTGAGACATGAGGACAGGATCACACTAAAGATTAATGTTTGTTGGTTTCATCCATCCAAAAACCAGCTTAGAAGTGTGTTTTGGGATTTTGTTCCTGCTAAATGGGTGCAGGTTTCAGGTTTCGCCTAAGTAATCATCCTCAGGTTCATAAAAAAATTGGTTAACTTAAAAGAGAATCTTTATAAACTGCATAAATCTCAAGCAACAGTATCACCATTGGCAGAAGTAGAGTTTTATTCCAGGGCTGGGAAAAGGGTTGTTGAAGTTTTATCAAGGGAAGCGTTTTCTAGCAATGGAAACTAATTCTGCCTTCTTGACTATTTCCAAAACCCAGATGCATCTCTCTCATGTGTTGCCCTTATTATGAGTGAAGTTAAATCCTGGCATTCTTAAATAAGGCCCTTTTCCTGTTGGAAAACTCTGACTCAGATGTGAAGGTCAATTCCAGGAAAAAAAAAAAAATGTGTGAAGTCAAAATATTACCTTGCAACACAGAGTGGTTCAGCCCTGGACTGGCCCTTTGCAAAGAGCTGTGCCGTTTTCTCTTTTCTTGTTCTACGCTGAGTGTTTGGGAACATTTTTAGTTACCACCAAACAGGAGCCTGTTCTCTGGATCTTAACTTGTCTAAGACACATTAAAACTCGCTGACACGTTTCTCCAAATACTTCAATGCAATACTGATTTGTTCTTGTTTAAATAAGCTTTGAAATATTTGCCTTCCTCTTCATTATTTGTCTCAGCACAAAAACACAGACTGGCATGTGTGAAGATTGTGATTCTTAAATTTAATGGCTCAATTCTGTAAATTAAACGAGCCAACTGCGATCAAATGAAACTGAATCTTGCAGACGGGTCACCACTAAATAAGTCATATCATCCATGCCGTCACAACAGCAAACAAACTTTGTGGACTTACAGTTCATGCTGGGTTCAAGTATATTTTCTTATTGATTTAAAATCCCTTTCTAAAAAATTGATATGGTTATTATTCTAGTTCAGTTGTGAGTTACATGTACACAAGCATGATTGAGAGTACTGAAACTCTCACTTGTTCCTATTAATTATTCCTGACTGAGCTGTAATTTTGTATTTAGCACTGGGAATAATGGCTCATTTTTTAAAAGATTACCTATCTCATACCATACTGTTATGAAACGGTGAAAGTTTTAACAAATATGTCAAAAACATATTTTTATAAAAGTGACAAACTTCAGCTTTAACAGCGTAAAATTAATTTGGCATTCTTGCAGATGATTGTTTATAAACTTCTAACCAGCATGGCATTGATATTGTAATGGTGTAATTTGTGTCCTGTTGTTGTTTGCATACAGGTATGGCCAAATGACTGCAGGCAGTTACTGCTACATTGGACCTCAAGGAATTGTTCATGGCACAATGGTTTGTTAAAAAAAAAAAAAAAAGAGAGAGAGAAGAAGATCCTCACAGCCAATCGACATCATGTCATACTGCACCATATTGTCGTAGCATATACATAATGAACTGAAGGTTGTTTTTTAATATCTTTTCTCTGTGCAGCTGACTGTACTGAACGCAGGTCGTCGGTACCTCGGCACCGATGACTTGAGGGGCCGCGTCTTCGTGACCTCTGGCCTCGGCGGAATGAGCGGCGCCCAGGCCAAAGCGGCCGTCATCGCAGGCTGTGTTGGAGTCATTGCCGAGGTCGGTTGGTTTCCAGTCGTTCCTGTGTCTCCTTGAAAGTCACTTTTGAGAGCCAGAATAAATGAAAATGTTTGTCATGCCTGTGTAGGTGGATGAAGTTCCACTGAGGAAGAGGCATGAGCAGGGTTGGGTCATGGAGGTGGCCAGCAGTTTGGAGCAATGCATCAAACGTATCCGGTAACACAGAAGAACACATTGTCATAATTCATTTCCTACAAATAATATTGTTGTTGGATGGTTAAAATGTTGTCTATAATAACATTTTAGTACCTGTTAGCACTGTTGCCTCGCATCAAGAAGGTCTTGAGTTTAAATCCTAGCTCGGGTCTCTATGCGTGCATTTTGCTTGTATTAAATTTTTTAAGGACAGCAAAATCAATGACAAAGTTCTACCAGGAGCAATGGACCAAAAACACATTAGATACTGTGAGATGTTTGTGACAGGATACATAAATGCTGATTCAGGTCATACAGTTAAAAAGGCACGCTTAGAAAATACAATAGTACATAGGTATTCATATGCATCTTCATATATGCACTGAAAACAAATCAAAAAAGTAAATCTATCTTACAGATCCAACTGCAATCAAGTTTAAAAGATATGAATTACAAAAACTGATTAATTTTCCTGTGAAAGGATCTTTAATATTTTTCTGTTGTTGTCCCTCAGAGAAGCCAGGAACTCCAAGACGCCCCTCAGTTTGGGATACCATGGGAATGTCGTAGACCTGTGGTGAGTAAACTGTGAAAACTTTCACTGGGCACAGTCAGGGTCTGTTAAAAATGAAACACTTTAACCCAATCGTTACTGAAATCGGTCCACTTTTTCTGTTTATAATTAGGGAGCGGCTGCTGTTGGAGTTTGAGAGGACAGGGGAGCTCCTGGTGGATCTGGGTTCAGACCAGACGTCGCTGCACAACCCCTACAACGGGGGCTACTACCCCGTCCCACTCAGCTTCCGCCAGGCCAACCAGCTCATGTCCACAGATCCTGGACGCTTCCAGAGCATCGTCCAAGAGAGGTTCAGTTCAGTTCATCTCAGAGCTGAACCGTGTGCAGCATTTTGTTGCTGATGTTGTTTTTTACTACCATGTAACCAATGCAATTACAGCCTCAGAAGACACATAAAGGCCATCAACAAGTTATCGGATGCAGGCATGTTCTTCTGGGATTACGGCAATGCATTCCTGCTGGAGGCCCAAAGAGCAGGTGAGTTATTTATAAAACATGACACAAAGAGTATTTAGACTCAGGCAAGAGTTGAGCAGTAAACAGAAACATGTTTTTGGCTTTAATAGGTGCAGAGGTCAACAAAGTTGGTGGAGGTGCGACCGAGTTCCGGTATCCTTCTTATGTCCAACATATTATGGGGTGAGTGTACATCCAGTGATTTATTGGTCCAGTCAGTACAGCTTAGTAATAGTTTCTTGCTGCAGGGACATTTTTTCTTTGGGGTTTGGGCCGTTTCGCTGGGTTTGCACGTCTGGTGATCCACAAGACCTGGCCGTAACCGACAACATCGCCGCTAAGGTGCTGGAGGAAATCGCTGCCAAGGTGTCAGAACGTGTAAGGCAGCAGTACAGAGACAACATCCGCTGGATCAGAGAGGCTGGAAAGCACAAAATGGTCAGCTAAAGAAGATCTCTAAGTAGAGAATTTCATGGAGACGAAAAAAATAAATGGTTAGTTTTTAACCTGTGTTGTTTCTTGTTTAGGTTGTTGGATCTCAAGCTAGGATTTTGTACTCAGACCAGAAAGGAAGAGTGTGCATTGCTTTAGCCATAAACCAGGCTGTTGCTGATGGAAGAGTCTCAGTAAGAAGATGAACTCAGCTGCAGACTTAATAGTTGTGGATTGACACGTGAATCTTAGTGTTGTTTTCTGTTGTTTCTTCAGGCTCCGGTGGTCATCAGCAGAGACCACCATGATGTCAGCGGCACAGACAGCCCCTTCAGAGAGACCTCTAATGTGTACGACGGCTCTGCGTTCTGTGCAGGTGTGTGTTTTATACACAGCTCAGATGATGAATCTGCCTTGAGATGGACATTTGAGATTTTTGCTGCTTGTACTTTCTGATGCCTCAGCACCTAGTAGAAGTATTCATACCCCTTGATAATCATGAAATGTTTCACCTTCACCACAAAGTAACGTGCTACTATGTGTTGGTCTATGACATAAAATCCCAGTATAATTCAATGACTTTATAAGTTATGACATGGCAAAATGTGAATAAGTGCAGTTAATATATTGTAATGGCTCTGTAAAAAGAAATAGTTAAATAGTTTATCAATAACGTGCAGGTAGTTACAACTTCGGGTTTACAAAGCTGATCATGAATTAACTTTTTGAAACGAACTCAGGTTTGCAGCTGTCAAACATTAACTTAACTTCAGTTATGTTAGTGAGTAAATATGCTAAGTTCATTTATAACAAACAGACCTCTTTTCTAGAAGAAACTGAAGATTTTGAAAGAAGCCCTGAGGTAGTTTGCAGCAAAATCTGGTTTGGGTTTTGTTTTTCTCCCAACATGACAAAGACCCAAAACACAGCAGATCTATGTCCAGAAAACCACAGTATACTAATAAGATTAGGGATTAATAACAATCTTGACCCAAGATATATATATATGTATATATTGGCTATTGTTTAATCATTTCATTTCTGGGTGCAAAGTGAAATCTGGTAATTATTCACTCAAAATAAACCTCAGCTGTTGTGAAAAGCTGTTTATCTTTCTTTCTGTTTTTACTCAGTTTAACAGCATTTGGAAAACACTTTTAAAATTATAACAGTTTTGTGTGACTCCAAAATGTTCAACTGTAGACATGATATAAAGGAATAAAAGCGACATTTTAGTTTTTACGGTGCTTCCTTTCCTCAGACATGGCCGTCCAGAACTTTGTTGGCGATGCCTTCAGAGGTGCCACTTGGGTCGCTCTGCATAATGGTGGCGGTGTTGGCTGGTGAGGGCGGTAAACAGCAATCTGGCTGTGTCGATGTGAATCACCGTGTGTTCATGTCTGCCTCTCACCATCAGGGGAGAGGTAATAAACGGAGGATTCGGTTTGCTGCTGGACGGCTCAGACGAGGCGGCGAAGCGCGCCAGGTTGATGCTCAGCTGGGACGTTTCCAACGGGGTGAGGCTGCAGGCGGAGCAGCAGCTTGATGCTCTGGTCGGCTGCATTCCTGAGCGGTTCTGCTTGTTGCAGGTGGCTCGTCGCTGCTGGTCTGGAAACACAAACGCCTATGAGACGATCCAGCGCACCATGGAGGAGAACAGGCAGCTCCGCGTCACCATGCCGTTTCCAGTGCAGGATGAACATGTGCTGGACCGAGCCCTGCAGGGATAACTGGAGATGATTTCATCTAATTAGACAGAGAGCAGAGGAAGGCAGTAGCTGAATTTACTGAAGTGTATTTATCAAAATGAAGCCTTAATCAGAAGAATCACTCACGGTGTTAATGTCATGATCTGAAAAAGTGTGTGTTATAATAATGTTTGTTTTAAAGATCGAGGTAGAACTACAAAAAGCGGCAAACCTGCACTGATTGTATGGTTTCCAACTTTCGATGGATGGACCATCGATACATATTACTAATAATACATATTGATACCAATATATGTGAATAGGATGGTCTATCTAGAGTGGATGGATAGATAAAGTCACCCACAAAATAAACTGGACAGCTTTTAAGAAAGGTCTTTTTATAGAGGAAAGGTTCAGTACAATTGAATACTTTTACCATGTCAGATGACTCTTATCTACTTTTGTGCTGCAAATTAATAAATAAAATGTTTGTTTTAATATTGATGATTTAAATGGCTGTTTGTGTCTCATGATGTCGTAATCTAAATGTCATTTACTTGTGGTGAACCGTGAATAAAACAAGATGTTTTTCTCCTGTCTAAGTAAAAACTTATACCAATAAATAGTTTATGAGTTAGTAAGAATTGGCTTTTTCTACTGAAGAAGTATTTTGGCAGGAAACCAAACAGAGACATAGAAGACACAGTTACGCGGAGCAACACCTGATGTTCATGTCTCAACAGGATGAAAATGAGAAACCAAAAGCTAAAAATGTTAATGTTTCCCTTTAACTCAAACATCTCCAGCAATAATTGTATGGAAAGCTAAATTATCATAAAAATAACTTAACTAGATTCTCAAACAACTTTTCAAGAATAAATCTGATCACCTTTTCCCTCTCTGTGAAGATAACTTTAAAGTCAATATATCTGAAGTACATCATCTGATATCTACTACAGTGTTCTTAATGGGAAAACTTTCATTCCAGATATCTAAAATCCCAGTAAGACATTTTGAACTAGACATTTAATATGAAAAACAGTTTCAGATATTTATAATGTATCATCCAGGATCGGCAATATTTACTATGACTTGTTTGAAGATAGTTTCAGGCACTAGTATATTTGCAATCAAAATAAAAATCCAGGACAAAGATATTATTTAAATATTCCTTAAGCCTCTCTACATTAAATGTCATATTAACTTAAGCAATAGCAAATACAGCTATTAACATTTATACAAATTAATAAAATATGAGTTTTGTCTTCTGGGATGTGGTTGTTTTTTTTGTTTTGTTTTTTCAGTAGGGGTCTAGTTTTTAATATCTAGGACACAATACCTAATAATTAAATATATGAACAACATTCTCTGTCAGCAAAAGTTCAAACACCTGAAAGATTGATCTAAAATATCAGCTTTGACTAGAAAGAACCGAATTGTGCAAGTCTGTATTTTACACAGTCCTCTTTGCTTATTAGCACAATCTTTTGATTGTAGTCAGATCAAAAACCTAAAATTCTGCCTTTCACTTGATTTTATTGGGTGGAAGGATTAACAAAACAACTTTACAGTTCCTGGCACCCTGTAAGACAAATGAAGCTGACGCACTTATGTAAAGTGTCATTTAGGGTTCTTGTTTTTTAAGAGTCTGTGATCACTTAATTAACAACATGTAACTTCCTGTTTCAGTGCAATTACACAGACTTCCTTCGCTGCAGCTCAGTGTTCCCCAAGGGAACAACAATAAAACATGTCATTAAAGGGTAGTTAGATGTTTTGCTGATTTTCACAAACCAGCAAGAAAAGAATTTATTTGACTAAGGTTGCATATAACCAAAATATTTTAAAAGCGGAAAAGGTCTGAAAAACTGGATGTTTTTTTTGTTTTTTTAATATATGTCCAGATCACCTTAAACTACATCAAAAGCATCCAATAAGACCCTGAGACATAATTGGAGTTCCATAATAAAACATTTTATTTCTATGCAACAACTCCCCTCCATAAACTGGTCACTATTAATATTAAATTAAACAAGTTTATAATTTTATAAAATCTCTACACAGGTAGCCATCAAAGTGTCTCATCATGAAGTTATTATGAGTTTTTTTTTTTTTTTTGCTTTTTGTTTTTCATGAGTCAGAGGTGGAGGAGAATAATGTTTTCTCCTTTTCCTTCAAGTTGAGATCCTTACTTCACGTGGTCAGGTTGGACAGATTTCATCCAGGTTGACTTATGAAGACGGTCTGGAACCTTTCTGTCACTGTTTATAAAAACAGTGAGAAGATCTTCTGTCAGAGAAGATGAATTAAACGTGAAGAGCATGTAATAACAAAAACAGTCTGAAAACACGCAAATTACTTTTTCATCTCCTTCCAATGAACGACTAATTTTTCTTTGGCAAGAATTTTTTTTTGCCTTGGTAAAATATTTCTTGCTCATCTTTCCTTCTGAAAAAAGAAATTGATTTTTTTTTAATGTATCTTGTTATTGATGTGGAAAAGGAGGAACCTAAGCTCAGGACAGTAACACTTTGATGGACCATTAGCTCTAAGCAAGAACTTAAACCAGATAAAGAAAACATAATATTTATAAGAGACATGGAGTGAGCACAATTTCAGCATTTTTTCTGACCATATGAGTAAAATTTGGTGATTTTTGAAGATCACCAAAAATTATTTGTTTTTAATCAAACTATTCTCTTATCAGTCGTAAATCAAATACTATTTTAGCCGTGTTCAAAGGCTTCCAACAAATTTACGCATGTTTTGGTAAAAAGACGAAAAAAGAAATGCAGACAGTGAAAATACTGCAGTATGTTCCAGAATATTTTAATACAACACAACTTATTATTTTGAGGCCACGTTAAGCCCCCAATCCTTCAGGATCTTAGCAACGCCTCTGTTTAGCAATGCGGTTTGAATATATGTAACAACGACCTGCCATACCTTCGTGTTTCCCCGCTGGCAGCGATATTTTTCCAGGGATCAAGTTTCCTTTCCAGCAGCCGTGGGGTCGGACGATGACCAGCATTGTTCTCAGCTCTCTGTGCGTCCCTGCTGCTTGTGCCTGTTCCTTTAAGAAATCTGTGAATGGTGACTGAACTTGAGCTTTCCGCGCTGACGTAAAGGGTTACAGAGGTTGATGTTCGCTCAGAGAGCGGCAGAGATCTGTAAAGAGGACCGCACAGGGGGGCGCGACTGGTTTCCTTATTATTATTTCTGCCCATTTTAAATTTTTTTCAAATTAAGTTTTAAGTTGTCTCAGTTTTACTTTTGGCGGATATAAACGGTTTCGCTTAAACCTCCGCCCTTTTCTGTGAATCTCTTTTTCTTTTATTTTAAGATTTGCCTCTCTTTTCTTTTTTTTTTTTTTTTTTTCGCTTTTGCAGTCTAAACAGTCTGGAAACACCAAAGTCCTCTCGTTGGCTCGCAATGCCGCTGGACTGCTCCTGTTGGAGACGGCAGTGAGCTTTCAGTTCGGGTCGGTTTGAAGGGAAAATGCTTCACATTGAGGAGGAGCAGGAGGAGCAGGACGGGATACCGAGCCCCGGGCAACACGGGACGGCGCTCCGCAGCGGCGGCTCGTCCAGCCTGGGCTGCAGCAGCTGCAGCAGCAGCAGCTGTAGCAGCGGCGCAGAGGGGCTCCTGCCACCTGCTTACCCCAAAGTGGAGTTCAAGAGACACGCGGTGACGGATGACTATAAGATCACGGCGCAGGTTCTGGGTCTGGGAATCAATGGCAAAGTGCTGGAGTGTCACTGTAAGAAAACAGGGGAGAAATGCGCCCTGAAGGTTTGTGTTAAAAACCATCAGTAATGAATTTCCATTCAATCTTTTTCATTTATTTATTATTTATGCTTTAATATCCAACATCAGGGCTGGTTAATTAACTTATTTATTACAAGTATTTATTAAAATATAATTATTACATAAATACATTTTAAAGGCCCAGACAGTGATGTGCTGCCTGTTTGTTTCCCCCCTTTTCTTCGCTGCCTGGACAATGATATGCTCTGTAATGATATTGCGTCGCAGTCTGTGTGACTCTGACATTTAACAGAAGTTGTAATTTTCCTCTCATCCGGTGAGCTCAGCTTTAATCAGCGAGCAGCACGTTGCAGCAGAGCTTTCCAAACAATAAACAGGAAGAGGGGCTTCCAGTTGACTTCTTCCAGGAGTTTTTGTTTTGTTTTGGAAAGTCTGTTGGAGTCATGACTAAACAGCCAAATGTTGGGAGCTCCTGCATTCCTGGTCAGGACTCATTTATGAGTAGCACACTCTTCAAAACAGCTGGTTAAAAAAAAAAAAAAGCAAAACACCTAATTAGTGTGATTTTCCTGCCTTGGGCCTGGACTGAACCAGCAAAACGGATTTGGGTTTGAAATTAGCACAATGAATTGTCATTTCCGTGCAGTGGTTGTCAATTTTTTTGCATGTGAAAAGAAGGAAGATGAAGCTAATTTTCAACAAAATTGAAAAATACATTATAGTAAAAAATCACAGCTTTTTTAAATTCCCCTTGTTCAATTATTTTTGTTGTTGCTTTTTAAGAAACTTTTTTCCCTTCAAATTGTGTCTTTTCTTCTTAGAATAAACTAACAGTAAAGTGAGAACTGTGTTTTTCTCCAACCCTAACAAACCGCTTTAAAATGCCTTTATTCATTCAAGCAAAATGAAATGAAATGTTCATTCTTGTTATGTTTGTGGAAGAATACCAAACAGATGTGTTACTTTTTTTTTCTATGTTTAGAAAAAAAAATCCTGTAGATAATAATCTGTAGATAATGTTCCTGCTTAGGCTTCAATTTTTCTCCTGACAAACACTGCGCACAACCTCTTCAAATCTTCTGTTACGTCACATTATTTATTCCAGCTGAATGCTTTCAGCTGTCAGACATAACATTCACTGAAACGCCAAAAGCTACTTTTCCAAATACCTATAAACACATCATTATTGCTCAGACGGCTCTTGCACCTAATTTAAGGCAACACCTTACATCAGGAAGCACTTTCAGCTCTCGCTCTGTTGGCTGAGATAAACTTCCCCTGCACTGCTTGCTATGTGTTGAAAGGCTGATGCAGAGTGGGCTTGGACAGACTCCCCCGGTGGAGCTGAGCTGAGCGTTTTCTCACATTCATTGCTCCTCCAAGATTCAGATTGCACTTGTGATTTTCTCGAGGATGGAAGCGTGGATCCGGGGGAAAAAGTCATGCCCTTCACCTCATAAGTGAATCACGTTACTGAATACGGTCTCGCAGTTTCAGTGCTAATGCATTTTTATGTGAAGTTGCAGCTTTGGTCGTAGATGAACTAACAATAAATCTGGTTTCACATGAACATGAGAAATGCACGTTCGGTGTTTCATCAGATTCTCTATGATACTCCGAAAGCCAGACGCGAGGTTGAGCTTCACTGGCGAGTGTCAGGAGGCCCCCACATCGTGCGAATCCTCAGCCTGTACGAGAACATGCACCAGGGGAAGAAATGTCTGCTCATCGTGATG